ATTTTTATTGCGGGCGTAGCCGCAACAGGTCCCCTAGTAGGGAATACAAGATTGTGTACTCCGAATAGAGAGTCTTTGTGAAGTTTATTTTTAGGAGAATGTCATGATGCAACTGATCATTTTGGTTATAAGAAGAGTTCAGCTAACCTAGTGCAGAGATTTTGGTGGCCCTCTATGATGCAGGATGCTAAAAGGTACGTAGAAACCTGCCAGGTTTGTCAACGGGAAAAACCTAGGACTCAGGCTCCGCTAGGGCTTCTCAAGCCCTTGCCGATTCTTGAAGGTCCTGGTCAGAGTGTGTCCATGGACTTCATGGATACTCTTGTGACCAGCAGGACGGGCAAGATACATATCTTCGTTATAGTGGACCGCTTTTCCAAGTATGCAAGACTTATCGCTATGCCAGAGACTGCTAAAACGGACTATATCATCAAACTGTTTCTGGATAACTGGGTTCGGGATTTTGGACTCCCTATGTCGATAGTTAGTGATAGGGATGTAAGATTTACCAGCGAGCTGTGGCAGTCGACAGCTGAACAGATGGGCACCAAGCTACAAATGACGTCAGGGAACCACCCTGAGTCGAATGGCCGGGCAGAACAAATGAACCGAGTAGTACAACACCTGCTTCGGCATTATATTAAGCCAAGTCAGGATGACTGTGACGAGATGTTACCTCTCGTCGCCAGCCTGTACAACAATGCTGTGCACAGTACTACTGGTATGACTCCCAACCAACTGCACCTTGGTTGGAAGCCCAGAACTGCACTTGACTTTCTGCTACCAGAAAGACAGCCCACTGCAGCACCTGGCAGCATAGAGTTTGCTGTCAAGTACGAGCAGATGCTGCAGCAGGCCGTCGAGCATATTAGGAAATCTCAGGATGCCATGATTGCATCTGAGAATAAGCATAGATGGCCCTCTAACTTTCAGGTAGGTGATAGAGTCTGGGTCAAATCATCTGAACTGGGTCAAGAGCTGGGCATATCTCCCAAACAGATGCCGCAGTACTTCGGTCCTTGGGAGGTCCTAGACATAGTCGGGGATCAGGTAGACGGACCTTCCTATGTGATTCACATCCCACCTCATTTACGCACACACCCAGCTTTTCACGCCTCAAAGCTGGCACCTTTCGCAGAAACTGCACAGTTTCCTTCCAGACGGTCAATGCCGCCCCCAACCATGGATGGTGAAGTTGACATCGACGGAATTGTGGAGCATCGAGTGATGCCGGTACCTAAACTGCCGGGCAGAGGCCGCAATACCGTGTCAGATTCATGCACCATCTGGATCCCAGCAAAGATCGGTGGTTCACCAGAGAAGAACTCATGCGAACATCACCTCAAGTTATTGCAGGCTATGAAAGAGAACTTAAGGGGAAGATGCCTGCAGATTAGAGGACTTCTCACAGGACTACCGAAGAAAAGGAGGAGGGAATGCAAGGATCTGGGTCCTCGGCAGGCCTAAGGGGCCTCTTGCTGCAGATGTGCCTGCCCTAAGTGAAGGTGGGCCTAACAAATCACTAGAGGCCCTAAGCTTTCAATTTCGTATTTGAGGTCCAGGCAATTTCGTCGCGCCAGTTGGTTGAGGGAAACACAGGCCGAGCAGCGAGACATTCCACGGTCTTCCGGGCCTTTCCAAAATGATGCAGGCCCTGGACGAGAATTGCAGGCTCATACACAGACAGTTGGGAGGCCCAACCGAATGAGGCCCAGTAGCTGCAACAGAGGCGCAGCATCCTGGGGCCTACCGGAAGCTTCCGGACCCAGGCCCAGGCCCAGGCCAGCCAGGCTGCGAAGGCAGGCAGGCTCTTTCCATATAGGAAAGAGCTCGCTGCCTGGAGCCTCATTCAGCACTTGCATGCTGGCGGCAGCGGTGGTGGAGCGGACGCTTGTGGGCTGCTGCTGGCGCTGAGAGGTAAGGTGCTAGCACATGTGGTCGTGCAGGGAGCAGGGCGCTGCTGAGGGCAGTGCCATAGCCCAGCCTCCATAGCTGGATGGGCTTGGACTACAGTGAGGCGCAGGGGTGGTCTTCGGGTGTACAGAGGGAAGACGTGGGAGTAAGTCAGGGGAGAGAGAGAAGGATGATGATGATGATGATGATGATGATGATGTGAGGGCACATACTCAGTATTGGCGATGGTCTGCATTGGGCGACATCTTCAAATACTTCGTGGGCTGCTGACGTCAACAGTTGCATTGTCAATTGGCAGACTGTAGCTGTGTAGGAAGTAGGCTGGGCGCCGAACGCCAAGTAGGGAGATAGGGCCTGGGCACATGTTGGTGGTGGTGAGAGCGAGCTCTCATTGACATTGGTTTTCAGTGTCACGATTCTTCATTGGTGTTATATTGGTGCATTTCTGCTTTCTGGACACCGTGATACTATCTGGCCTTCAATGTGATTGTGCATTCTGGACATTGTCATCTCGCTATTGTTCATTTTCTCAATGTGATTGTGCATTCTGGACATTGTCATCTCGCTATTGTTCATTTTCCTTGCATAAGCCTTTGAAAGATCCATGGAAAGGTGATAAAAGGCCAATTGATATTTTTCCTCTTTCGAAAGGTCATTCATAGATATGTTGTATGAACTGTCTGTTTTGCAAATCAATAATAATAATAAAAAAATCAACTAAAGAAAGGCTGTGCTGTCACTATACCAGTAGATGCACAGCTTGTTGTGCCGGGTGGATTGATGTGGATTCAACAAGTCACAAGAACACCTGTTAATCACAAACAGTTTTTGAACTTTCCATTCGTTTGCTATTTTAAGGTTTGAAGTTTTATGAACTTTTATCACCATTTCATTTCGTAAAGGAACGTTGTTCGTGAGGGGTTGTGTTACGGTCTCTACTGTTCCTTGCTTTTCTCTTGATGTCCATTTTGTACTGTGTGATCTGAGGCCCTGTACAATTACCCTTCACCATGTCAGGGGATTGGTTGGAAGTTTTGCTTCACCGTTTGGCTGCCTCTACTGATGTTGTACTGTGGTTTGTTTTTTTTCTGTGAGGTTCCATTTTGGTGCTAGGACACTTCTGCATGCTATGGAGTCTGGACTGATGGTGGTTGAGGGAGGGGGGCGGGGGGAGGAGAGAGTCTGCACCTTACCTTGCCTGCACGATGGCATGATGTTGTTAATTCGATTATGTTTCTCCGCCTCGGAAATTTGACGGATTGAAGGAGGATGCAAATGGTATGAGCTAATGGCATGTCATTATGTCTGTGGTTCAACGCTGTCTGAACAGGCAGAATTATAGCAGAAGATGGCATGATGTTGTTAATTCGATTATGTTTCTCCGCCTCGGAAATTTGACGGATTGAAGGAGGACGCAAATGGTATGATCTCATGGCATGTCGTTATGTCTGTGGTTCAACGCTGTCTGAACAGGGAGAATTATAGCAGAAAAAACTGACACGGAAGTTCCAAGTCAAAGGCCACCAAGACCACTCCCAGTACCAAAGAACGCAACGTTAGGTTATCGCTTCTGCGAAAAGGATGTGAGCTTTTCGATTCTTTCATCCCCTGCATCCATCTATTTTGTGGTTTGGTCAATCCGGAAATGAAAAAGGTTATCGCGTTCGGACTTTCGCGAACACAACGCAAGCTTTTAGATCCTTTCTTCTCCTGTATCCATCTGTTCTGCATTTTGGCCTATCTGGGAGAAAAGGTATCTCACCTTCTCATGGAAGAGGAGGGGGGGAAGAGGGGGGGGATATGGGCTGAAAGTGTGAAATGCTTGTGAAAAGTTTAAAGAGGGTTTGGGCCGTTTGGCTCAGAAGGTCTGAAATGCCATTATCATAATTGGTTGTGCCATAAAGTTCACACTCCAAAAAGGCCAAACCTTGTCGTTTTTCCTTTTCGTTTCAATACAGTGTGAGGAATGTGTCCTCATGGGCCCCTAGGCAACATGCATATGTTCTGGACTGTGGCCACCAGCATGCCTCGTGCCCGTCCTGAGTGAAGGCGGGCCTGAATATCCACAAGAGGCCTATTCTCAGCATTTTCCAATGTGGGTATCAGACAGTTGCTGCACGCCAGTTGGTTGAAGTGCAACCTTGGCCTCACCCTGGGCTCTTCCAGAAGAAGCAGCTGCGTCAGGCAGTTGAGCCCAGGACGCAGGTGGTTGCACCCTGGGCACACGCAGTGTGAGGCCGACACACCACGAAGTGGCTGCGGGCCAATGAGAATGCAGCATTGTCGGCACACCAACCCTGCGGGCCAATGCAAACACAGCAAACATTCGGAGCCTGGATGATCCTGGGTGTGCCCAACTGAAAAGGGCCCAGGCCCTCAACTGTAGACATGGGCCTGGGCGCAGACACTGGGGCCCGGTCAGAAGCTACTGGAAACTTCCATGGCCAGGCCCAGGCAGTCCAGTGGCAGCAGTGACTCCCATATAGGGAGGAGGCAAGCCAGTGTGAGGCATTCTGGCCTAGGCAGGCAATGTGGACACGCTGCTGCGATAGAGCACAAGTGTCTGCATGCGTTAATGCTGGCTGGGGCGCGCACAGGCGCTAAGAGGTGTGGGGCACCAAGCGGCCATAGCTGGGCTGCAGGGGCGCGAGCGGGTGATGGACGATAGTGCTCTTCAGGAAGGAGGCGCAGGTGTGGGTGGACGAGGGGTGATGAGGGGATGCGAGAGAACGTACCTGGTGTATATGGGAGGTCGACATTGTTGTTGACATGCGGCCATAGTCGGGCTGCAGAGGCGCGAGCGGGTGATGGACGATAGTGGTCTTCAGGAAGGAGGCGAGAGAACGTACCCGGTGTATATGGGAGGTCGGCATTGGTGTTGACATCATGTACATTGGTCTTCGTCGTCAAAGTGAGCCTGTTGCACGAATGTAGATAGGCTAGATAGGATGAGTAGAGTAGGCTGAGCGGTGGGTGTCAGACAGTAGGAGCGACATTGAATACTGCGTTGATGTGGCCTGAGGGCTTGGACATTGGCTCACGAGTTCGTTGTATCCCTCTTATTTGGATGGAATCTTGGTGCATTTGCGCTCTCTGCTTGTTACATGACTATCTGGACTTCTGCGTGATTTTGCAACTTGGTTCCCGTTTATCGCTCTCGCTCATATTCCTTACAATTTGGTATTGAAGCTTGTTCGAGATTGTCATCACCTGGCGCTGGCGACATTGTTATTTGGTGCCCTGACGATGCTTCTGTGCAGTAAGGATACATCGGCGCTGGCTTGACTGAGCGACACCAAGGTAGAGGGGTGCTTCGCTGGAAGGCTGTGGCAACAGCGTGGGAGCTGTGGCGACAGCGGGTGTATGTGTGATGATGAGAGCATGCTGATGTGGCATTTTGGCTGAGGTTGCACTGCATTGTGTTGTGGGTGGTACCGAAGCTATGACCGGTCGTCGAAATGCACATTGGCCCAATTGGTGAGAAATTTATGGTTGGGGGCAGCTATCTCCAGGTACATTGTTCCCTTCCCTTATCTTCCCTCTCAATCTCTTCTTACCGTGAGGAAGTGAGTCCAACCTTGAGTGTCCTCTTTTAAGAAAGGAGTCGTCAGCGCTCTTACCTTGAGAGACGACATTCTTCCCTGTGGCGCATCAGGCAGGAGAGGGTGGTGCCTCTGAAGGGCCCTGGTCGAAGCACGGGTCACAGTCACCATGCCAACCAATGGGAGTAGTAAACGCAGGCCATGCTGCTTTGTCCTTTAATGCTCTTTGGTGCACTGATAGAGGGATCGTGGAACGACCAGTCCTATGCAGACGCAGACTGTCTATAAATATTTCTGGGGGGGATCTGATCTGTACACTGGCTGTGATCATCGTCCTGTCTGCGACATTAAACAATTCCCGAGGACCTTGGGGGTTGTCCTTAAAACGCCTCTTGATCAGCCAGATCAAGCAGACGTAAGGCTCGTTGCACGTGAGGATAAAGAAAGGGCGGTGCTGGTCATAAGCGAATTCCTGGGCACAGGGGTGGGCCGTTAACGCACACCTTAGACACCGCTGCTTAATGATGCGGACAGGCACGTTGGAGACAGGGGAAGGAAGGTACCAGTTGGTGCTCGATTGTTAATCACGACCATACCCATTGCGCATACATCTGCTCACATGCTTTATTTTTAATTTGATTGGTTGGTGGACAGACTGCTAACACCTGACAGACAACCTATATCAGTACTGCAGTGTTTTGCCATAGCCAGTTCTCATCAAAGCTGCTGTGAGTGAAACTAATCACAGTAGGACTAGATCATGTGTACAGTTTGTGTAGATGTTGTTGATACCGCTTGAACAGTAGCGTAGGTGACTTGCCAAATATTAATTTATTTCTATTTATTTTTCGATCTGGTCAGGCACATGCTGTGGTAGGCCCCAGTGAGGGCACTAGTGCAGACAATGTCTGCCTATCTGATGAGTGGACCAGGCAGTGGTGAAGATAGATCTTTAGGAAGGAGGGTGACACATCAAGCTATACGACGGGAAGTAGTAACTGAACGTTTGCAGAGGGCTAGAGAAGCGGCAGCAGCAGCTGAGCAATTGCTTGCAGCGGCAACAGCCACTGCAGCAGCTATGGCTACTTCTGCTGCTTCCTTCGGTCAGCAGAGCGTAGGCATGCTGACCAGTTCACAGTCCACATCCAGCGGGATGGGATCAAGCAGTTCTTCTAGTCAGATGGCGGTCTCGCAGTACAGCTCGCCACCTCCACGCACTAACGAGCCCATTGAACTCCAGCAAGTGGAGTTGATCCGGTTACGGTTAGAGAAGGAACTTAGGGAAGCTACTGAAAGAGAAACGAAGAGTAGAACTAGGAAAGCCAAACTAGAGAATAGGAGGGCAGTCAAAGCTGTGTAGAAGGGTTAGATGACGATGTCATTGATGATAATACGAGGATCCTCAAGGCAGGTCTACTGTCCATACACGCTTACATGGACAGCAAACTGGATGCTATGCAGAATACCCTTGACCAGATACTGAGTGCCATGCAGGGGATGCGAAGGGCTTTTCCATCTCCAACAGGCGGGCCCAGTTTCCGGCCTCTAGTTTTTCCATCACCGGTTTCCTCGCCGGTGATGACAAGTCCCACTCTGTCTCAGTTTAGCAGTTCACCAAGCGGTACTTCAGCAGCAGCAACACAAACTGTTGCTTCTTCATCTTCAGGTCCAGTGGCTGGTGCTACACAACAGCCGGTCCCACCAGTGGGACAACTGCAGCCTTGGTACCCCAAGACTCCTCGAAAACCACCGTTAACTTTCTCTGGTGATAAGAAGGATGAGGCTCTCGACGCTTGGTTGAGAACGGTACCAGTGTGGGTAAGGGCAACGAGGACGCTCTTAGAGGAAGAAGTGATCATTACCACCTCGTATCTTGAGGGTTCGGCATCGCGATGGTTAGATGGATTAGTAGCCTCGAAAGGGTTCGACAGAAGGATGAACGATGGGGCTAAGACCCACACTTTAGAGAGGTTTATGGAGTTGGTAGAAACGCGATGGCACAACCCTCAGCAGGCCCAGCAGGCCACTGATGCGTTGACCCGACTTGATACTAAGAAGTACAAGTTCGTGCGTGAGCTTACCTATGCTGTGGAGCATCTCATTGTCGTCCCCGACGTGCGCTATGATCCACAGGTCTTGATAACCATGTTCTTGGGATGTCTTCCCACAAACGTCAAGAACTTGCTGGTCAGCGAGGCCAACATCAAATATTATACTTTGGACTCCTTCAGCGAGAAGGCCCTAGGCTTAGAGGCGAGGCTAGGAGGAGCCCAACAACCCTCTACAAATGGAAGAAAGAAATAGAGTCCACAGGAGTGGAAGAAGAAAGGTAGTCGATGGATGATGTTTGATTATGAAGGGAATCAAACTGAGATGGATGATTATTTTGACTTAGTGGACGGTACAAAGTTTGAAGACGAGGATAGTGTTGAGGGTAGCAACCTTGCTTCATTAGTAAAAGTTAAGGCAGGTGGACGCGGCAAGGGCGGTCAACAAAAGAGTCGTGGGCACACCCAAAACTCAAACAAGACACCAGCTTGGGTGAGAGCGTGTCTGGAACAAGCTGTGTGCCGAGACCGCTTCTCGCATTGACTGCCGCGAGTATGGCCATCAACAGTTCAGATGCAAGAACGCGAAGGTATCGCAGAAGATACCTCTCGAAGGTGGTTTTGGGAATTCTTCCTCCCATAGTGGGGCTTCTACGAGCTCCAACTCGGGAAACACATCGGGCCAGTAGAAGTTGTAGCTGCTTTTACTCCTGATGAAGTGGGCGATGTACCCTCCCCTTTTCAAGAGTTGGTCGAAGCTATCGACTCTTTAGTCACCCTGCGGACAAATCTTGACCCAATGATACTCTGTTCATTGGATGTGTATGAGGCCTATGGACCCTCGTGAGTCTTGGGCGCTAAGTAGAGGTCCTAGAGGGGAGCACTTCATTGTGGAAGTCGGTGTAGGTGGTCACAAATGTGGTGCCTTTGTAGACATCGGCTCCACGCGGAACTTCATAAGTCGCGACTGCGTTGAGAGACTGGCCACGACCT